TAGAGCTCAAAAGAGCTGTTCGAAAGGAACGACACGAAAGCAAGAAAGAAAGAAAGAGAAACAGGAGTGTCGCAAACGGAGGAGACAACCTCAAAAAATTGTACCGTAAATGGGCAAGATGAGATAATAGGAAAAAAAATAAAAGAAATCGAGTAGATCTGCTAATGCCCAGCTACGGGGCAGCTCAAAGAAAAACTCACGCTTTCCTGACGACCGGCTCACTCGCTGCTACCAGTAATTAGGTGGATCCAATGTACTTCACGCACAACCGAATAACAGTAGATTTATTAGGTGCCGGATAGATGGATGACGTGAGTTCTTCGACCCCTTCGCAGTGGCGCCAAGTGCAGATGGGGTCAGCCGCCCGTCGGACTGTCCTCCGTCCATAATGCCGTCCTTCCGCCTCAGCTCCACGCCTCGTGCGCGCTGAAAGCAAAACATCACACTCGGTCATCGAGCACTCGTCCCTTACAGTACCCCGAGAACAGCTCAAGCCCCTTGAGCTTACACCTCCCCTTTTTATCCAAAAAGATGTAGGGTCATTTTTCCCAATTCCCTCCCTTGGGCAAACTTGAAGTGTGAAGACGGCGAAGCGTCTATGATAAAGCAAATACTTACTTCATTGTGGGAGGTGCTCCGCCAGCGCTTCTTCTGAGACCAATGCATTGTTTGCACGCGCCCACGTAATGACAGAACTCCAGAAGGGGATCGTACGTAGCGACTCCTGGTGTCCCAGAACAAACTGCCCATGACGACAACGGGTAAGAGCCACGTTCATGCGGCGCGGGTCGTCTAAGAATTCGGCGGCGTTGGGGTCAAAGTTGGTTTTTGTAGTTAACAGTATGACCACGTCCTTTTCACGACCCTGGACTGCATCTACCGTGGAGAGATCGAGTCCGACGGACTGGGTGAAGTCGGCCAACCGTCGATGTTGCTCCTTGTAAAAGGTAATAATACAAATGCTGGAGGGAGCGATCCCACCACGGAGTAAGCGATTCACAAGGGCCATACAGACTTCGGCCTCCGCGTCATTAAAGTGAGAGTGGCTCTGAGCCTTCTGCGACGTACCGACAACGTCCACAAAGAGGAAGGGCAACTGCTCGTTAGGAAAACGCATGGCGTCCAATAACAGACGGCGTTGCTCACCTCGTGTGCCACTGCGAAGCGTGCCTCCGTACGCTAGGTGGTTGGGTAATCCGTTGAGGTTTGGGTGGGCACGGAACGAAGTTACGAGCGGGGCCATGGGAACGGCGTGCGCTTCTGATAACACGTCCATCATGCTGCGAGCCCCGAACTTGACGGGGTTTGAGTGACGTGAACACCGAGCGTAAGGCTCCAACTGATGCACATCGCCAATATAAATGTGCCGACAATTGGGAAGTCGACTCGCCATGGCGGCGAAGACAGGTTCGGGAATTTGCGATGCTTCGTCGCATATCAATAGTGAGCAGTTGTCGAGGAGTCCCGAAAAGATGCCATTCTTGCTCGTTGCGTTAAGGAGCGAGGAGGTGGTAATGGCCAATATTTGCGGCTGTGACCTGGCGAACAGGAGCGCTACGACCTTATCGATGAGTTCTGATACGTCCGTCTCCGCTAGGATAAAGTCCTCCCGTTCCTGCTCGGTTAGATTCATGGCAAGTTCACGGTTACGCATGTAGGTCTCATACCGCACACGCCCAGCTCGGAAGCGTTCACATATGAGGAAGTCGTCGGCCGGTAAGTCGTCCAAGTCCGCCAGGCGCTTGAGAACTTCGTGTAAGTCGACCTCCGTGGCGGGTATAGACTCGTCAAATGCCACCGTTTCCGCGACGTACCGGCAAACTCGCAGGTTGTAGGCGCTCAGCGAAAGAATAGTTTCAGTGAATTGGGCGACTGCGGCGTTGGTCGACGCAGCTACGATGACATAGTGACCCTCGTCTGCTTGCCTGGCCGCGATATTTGCGCCGACCACCGTTTTACCTGTGCCGAACGCAGCCTGGATGCCCAGGATTGGAAAGGGGGCAATCCCGAACGTGATGGCTTGTCGCTGATCGTCAGTTAGGTGGACTGTGCGTCCTTGGATAGATATTGGTGATTCATCTACGATGACTTTTATAGGCCACAGGTGGTTCTGGCCTTTGTTGAGGCATCCCAAGGGGGTGGCTCCATAAACAGCATTCATGATTGCGTCGGCCTTGCTTCCCGCGGGGATGTCCGAAAAGAGTGCCATACGCGTCACAGCTTCGTAGGCGGGAATCGCGTTGGAAGGCAATTTGCCCAGTTTGACACACGCTTCCAGGAAGGCCGTGTTGTTGGCAATCCGTCCGACCTCGTGAGTGGCGCGAAGCAGTGGCTTGTGAGACCACGAGTACGCCTGAAGCCGAATGCGCAGTTCGCGGGTGGCTCTTAATTGCGTCACGGCTTCGACCGTCATCCGAACAAACGAAAATGCTCCCATCAGCCATACGCCCACGGGGCGGTGTCGAGTCCATCCGGCTTCGGTGTTCATGTTGTTGAGAATGAACTCCATCCGCAACGGGTATGCGAGCAAGCTGGGTATGGTTGCGGTGACGCGATGGGTCTCCTTATCGTCGTCCATAGACACAAAGGCAGCTAACGCTGAAGACGCCGCGTTGAAAATTCGGCCCATCCGTGTCAAAGACTCGTGACGATTTCGGCAAAAGTTGTCAAAAGCGGCGAGGCGATCCGAGAACCACTGAGCTTCGCTCGAGTCGATCTTGAAAACCTCCATCGGAACGATGGCCTCGCCAGGATTCGCCGGAAGAAAGTGCTTCACCATTCGACTCAGCGTATCGCGGGCCGACTTTGACGCTGGCGGCTCGGAGAAGCGGACAGCGCAGGAGCTGTTACGACGGCATAGAGCGCGGAGAATTTCGTATTCCGAGATGTTGGGCCAGTCGAAGCGACACAGGGAACGAGCGATGGTAACGGCCTCTGGGGTTCCTTCGATGGCCACACGAAAGTTGTTGACGTATTGCCCGCGCCGTGTGATGGATAGCACTATGCCATATCGCGGTTCGGTCCATGTGGGCGGAGTGACGAACGCGAAACGGGCGACGCGAAAGAAGAACGTTGAATTTGTGTCCAACGCCGCTGTCCTTGGGATGCGCGCCCGTTCGAGATCAGCTGCCGGCGACGCGAGGACCGCGGCAACTGGCATGAGGTCATATACCCACACAAAATCTTTCACCGAAATCAAGGATCGATCGTAGCCGTACTTGCCGTTCTCCACGTTAAAGGCAAATTTGTCGAGCAGGATGCAATGGAGATCCAGGCGATCCGGCATAAAGATGAAGAAATCCTTAGCTTCCAAGACCAAGGAGTTAGATTTGATGGCGACTATTTGGTAAATCACCGGACGTAAGCCTTTGATGTAGCGGGGTGCAATCCGGGAAGTCCATTCTCCTTTGGGTGTCTGGAGACCGTCCGGAGGCTGTCGAGCTGGTTGAACGGCCCCGCGGAGAGCCTCTTGGATGATATCGGCCGAGTTACCGCGAAAGACGATCGCGTCTTCTAGGGACGGTAGCTCCAGGAACGGAATCTCCGTCGCAACGAGTCCATCGGGCGGCGTAACGCGGGGGAAAAGCGACCGCACGAACTTCAGCGACAAATACCCCGCAGGGGGCACGAAGCGATAGACGTCTTCGGGGAGCACGTTGGTGACCTGTTGGGCGGCGAGCTCATGCAAGCGGAGTTGACGGGGCTTGACGTACTGAGCCCACGGATGCCGATCGATGAGGTAGTGCCAAAAGCCCTCGGGTGTTTTGTCTGGCAATTCGTTCTGCGAAGTGGCCTTGGGTCTTCGATCTGCTGCCGCGGCTGTGGCGCGATCACGGCTCCCTCGGGTACGACCAGCGCGGACTCCGCGCTGGATGGTAGCTCCACGACGAGGAGAGGAGATGGAACCCCGTGGTCGGGAGGTCTGGCTGGCGGTCCCTCTGCGAGGAGCTGGTGGAGTGACCAGGACACGTCTACCGGGGGAGGATCCTAAACGAACGATATTAGAGATTGCCCCTATGATTAAAGAAACGGCTACAGCTGAAGAGGCTGATGTGGGGAAAGAACAAAGGGAAAGGAAAGTGTGAACGAACCAGATTGGAACGGCCCGGAGATGAGATTCTGCGACGGTTGTGAGAAGGTGAAGGATGGTGCTGTACCGAATCCGCCAGAACGAAAGCGTGAGGGTAGCGGGTTCGCGGATGCAGGTTGACGATTCGAAGCAGGAAGAGCACAGCCGTCAGAGGATGCGGAATCGGATGAGACAAGCAGGGAGGAACCGCGTTCGCGTCCAACCTCGCACACGGAACGCATTTCAGCATCGCTAGCCAAGAGCTCATCGGAACTGGGTTCGCCATGAGTGCTGTAGTCGGATATGGTGGCCATATCCACGTCGCCCGTCGGGGAGAGGACTACTAAAAAACGTGTTATGGTGATGATCAGAAGAGTTGGGGAGTGCATTCGCCACACTTACCTTTAGGAGAAGTACATGAAAGATCCGTTGATGCCACCGCGTGGCCGGAAGAAGTTGCAGAAACCTGCTGCGTATCAGAAGTATCCATAGGTGTCGTCATACGATCACCCAATGTGTTACCTAGATAGTGAGATGGTAAGCAACCTAACATGTGGCGCGCAGCGCCAAATGGAACCCACTGTTGGCTGATACATCCAACGACGACTGACCAGGTGATGCCACCACGTGGCAAGGAACAGGCGAGGTGCTTCGCTGCAAACTAGCAGTATCCGTAGGAGAGATATCTGAAGACGATGCCATTTCATGGCCGGGGGTTGCGGTACCTGAGATGAATAAAATATATAACGACGAAGCGTGGCGCCTATCATAGTGAAACATACTAATGCTCGAGTCTACCCTGGGTGCGGCAACCGGAGTAGCAGGAGCGGGGTCGGGAGTGGAGCCGTGCCCCGAAGACTTGGAATTCATGTGGACGCTGTACACTCGGGTGTTTCCCCAAGTAATCTGAAATGGTGGAAATGGGCGTTGAATTGAAGGCAAAAGAGACGAAGGAAGCGTGGCGACGCTTCACCAGACACGCAAAACGACAGAAGGACGAATAAAAAGGGAAGACGTGTGCGTCCCAACAAATAGTAGATCAGAGGAGCAGTGCATTGGAGAAAGTCAGAACTAATGGAAAAAGGAATGAAAAGAAAAGAGTAACTCCGGATCTCCGCTGAGGGTCTTCACATCGTTCCACAGCGGGCCCTGAAACGAGTATTATAAGGATGAGTATGAACCGGAGGTTGAGGTGTTGTTATCTGTAGAGGAGTATAGTTGTAACCAATAATACTAGTGGGGGTCGCCGAAGAAGCGTCTAAAGCCTCCTCCTCTAAGCGGGGCTGCCAGGGGTACGTGAAAACGGGACCTCCGAGCTCCTTACATTTTTTAACCTGATTCATGTGCACTGTTCGAGGAGCAGATTGCGGTGAAGTAATGCTGACTATCGTGAGGTGAGGTGGATTAACTTCGATGACCCGAAACTGGCCAAGCCACGGGTTGCACAGCTTTTGCGATAGGCCCACTTTGGGAGACATATCACGGAGGTAAACGCGTTCCCCGGCTCGGATTGTTAGGGGAGAGAGGTGGTTCGCGTCGTATTGCCGCTTGAAGCGCTCGCGCTGTTTCTGGTTGTACTGAAAAGCGGCTTGCCACGTAGAGTGGAGGATGGACAGCAAGTTTTCGGCATAGATGCTGGCGTCGCTATCGGCTGGGAGATGGCGCTCCAACGCATGCTTGATGATGAGGTCAATGTTGAAGACGGGATCCCTACCGAACATCATGAAGAAGGGCGTCTCGTTCGTGCTGGTATGAACGCTTGTGTTATACATGAAAGCGCATGCAGCTACGAATGTGTCCCAATCACGCTGGCCCTCACTGATGTAGGTGCGGAGCATGGCATGAAAAGTAGCAAACACCCGCTCGCATGCGCCGTTCCCTTCGTGATGATAAGGAGTGCAGTAATAGCGTCCCACCCGAAGTAGTTTGCCGAGCTCGGTTAGGAGCTCGCCTTTGAGGTAGGATGCATTATCGGAGATCAGTTGGGTCATTACCCCGTACTTTAGAATGCACTCCGTCATGATCGCGTGTGCGACGGACACCGCCGTACAATCCCGGAGGGGGTGGGCCACTACATACTTTGAAAAGTGATCAATCATCACAAGGATATACTTGTTCCCCCGATCAGACGTGTGCAATGGTCCGGTCAGATCGATATAGACCTTGTCAAAGACGGCGCTGCTGACCACCGGAATGAGGAGTTCTCGGTTCGCAGCCGCGCCTCGTTTGCGCTGGCAGGCATCACAAGCGGTAACTAGACGAAATATGTGTTCAGCCATGTGAGGCCAATAATACTTTCTGCTGATTTTTGCTAAGGTTTTACGCCAATGAAAGTGTCCTCCCGCTGAGGGACTGGAGTGAAAAGCAAGAAAAACTGGCTCGCGTAACTTTTCTGGCAGGACGAGGCGATCGGTTCGCTTGCCCGCCCCACTATCCAGCTGCCGGTAATACAGGCAGCCATTGCGTCGAATCACGCAGTGCTCCGCCACTGCCAACCACCGCGCTTTCGCGGACTCCTCAAGCGACGGCGGGAACTCCTGTGTCTGGATAAAGGTGATGAGGGCCGAGCAAAACGGGTCCGACTGCTGCTCTATCAGGACGTCGTATGGTTTTATGGCTTGTAAAGGGAGGTTGACGGCCGCTACAGACCTGGGTGGGTACAGTTGAGGTGCCGCCACCTGTAGACAGTACGGATAATCAATAATGTCGTCCGTCTCTCGCGAACCATCCTGAAACTGAACCTGCGCATTATCCGACCGGGACAAGCAATCCGCTACGACGTTGGTAGCACCCTTGAGATATTGAATGGTGATGTTGTAGCTCTGCAGCTCAATGACCCAGCGTGCAATATTGTCATGCGTCCGATTGTGCTTAAGGAGATGGGTGAGAGGTTGGTGATCCGAAAAAATACGCGTTCGGTTTCCGTAAATGATGGGCTTGAAAAAACGTAAGGCACTCACCATCGCGAAGAGTTCAATGTGGACGGTGCTCCATTTCCTTTGCGACTCAGATAGGGTCTTGCTGAAGTAGCCAATGGCTGCCAGGGGCTGGCCCGCAGTTGCCGTTTCCTGAAAAAGTGCCGCACCGACTCCGACATGACTGCCATCGGTATGAAGAATAAAGTCTTTATCCTGGGGGAACGCCAAGCACGGGGCGGAGGTAAGGAGGCGCTTGAGTTCGGCAAAGGCCTCCTCCTGGGATGGGCCCCAGTAAAAGCGCGATTTGTTTTTAGTGAGTTCGTACAGAGGGGCCGCGATGATAGCGAAGCGAGGGATGAAGCGGCGGAAAAAATTGGCCATGCCGACAAAACCCTTCACCTCCTTAGCCGTTTTCGGAGTAGGAAAATTTTTGATAGCCTCCACATTCCGATCGGCGGGAGAATACGAACTTTCAGAAATAACGTGCCCTAGGAATGTGATTTTCGAGCGGGCGATTTCAGTGAATTTCTTGTGAGATATTTTGAGGTCAAAGGCCCTGAAGCGCTCGAAAACTTTGCGCAAGGAATGCACGTGATCTTGGAATGATTTGTTAAATATGACCACGTCATCAATATAAGCCAAACAACTGTCCTCTAATCCTCCAAGGACTCGGGCCATCACCCGACAAAAGTATGCGCCGGCATTTTTCAATCCGAAAGGCAAGTAATTAAAGTGGTAAATACCTCGATGAGTGGCCCATCCGCACTTGTACTGACTGTCCGGCGAGAGCTTAAGCTGCATATAGCCCGAGGCCAGGTCCAGAGTTGTATAAAACCGATTACCGGCTATCTTAGCCAAAATGTCCTCTATGCGCGGTAAGGGAAAGCGATCCGGGATCGTGATGTCGTTAAGCGGCCGGAAATCCAGGCACACCCTCAGGGAACCGTCCTTTTTCTTTACTAAGACCGTATTGTGCACCCAGGGCGTATCGCTCTCGGCAATGCGCCCTGCCTTAAGCAGCTTATTGATGTGGTCATCCAACTCCTTTTGGAACTTAATAGGAATGCGGGGGGGACGGAATTTCCGGGGAGGTATCTCAGTAGTGGTCTTGATGGTAATTTGAGTGTGGTGGTACGATCCTAAGTCGTAGGGTGAGAGGGAGAACCGATCGCAATATTCCTCGAAGAGGTCTCTAAGAATCTGCTTCTCCGTATCGCTGAGCGAAGCGTGAGTCAAGTCAAAGGACGGAGTTGCCGGACTAGACGGTGCCGCATCGGTCTCGACAGAGACAGCGTCCATGGGGACGGCGTCGTAAGGAGTTGCGGAAGGGCAAGACAAGGTTCCGTCATCGGACTGAGCCAGCCGAACGGCAAACGCGATAACCTGATCCTTATACAAGACTTCTGTTCTGTCCGAGGGGTTAGAAACCAGAACCCGACATTTACCCGTGTTGATGACCGCCGGGGAAACCATCAGGGATTTATCGGCTAAAGCCGATCGTTGTGAGATCAACATGAGAGGCGCAGTAAAGGGACATGCCGTTTCGCAAGGAACAAAGGTTTCCATCCTGGGCTCGAGCACCGTTGTTTGGGAGAGGCGCACAGGCAGGTCGTCCGTGGGATTCGCCTGGTGCCCTGGCCTGAGGGCCATCATATCTACGTGAGTGGTACCAATCACGAACGTCTTATTCGCATAGTCAATATTCCAGCGAGGCAAACGACGGAGGAAATCGTTGCCCAGGATAATATTATAGGCGTGAACCGAACTGGGGACCGAGGGGGTGTCGGTGAAGTATACCGGGTGTCGGAGGGAGTAATCGCCAATACGAATAGAGCTATGAGCGTAACCCACGAGCTTTACTGGTGAACCAGACACTCCGATGGCGCAAGGAATGGGGCTTTTCTGAAGGGTGAACGTACCCAATAAAGGAGCCATGTCGCGGCTCGTCAAAGTAATCGCTGCGCCTGTGTCGATCAGAGCCAACATCCGTATTTCGTTAACCGTGACCGGGATCTGAGCCACAAAATAGGACTGTGGAAGGTCGATCGAGCTGATGAATACTGGGCTGACTGAGGCCTTCGGTGGCCACGTCGTAGCTGCGTCCACTTCTACCTTCGTAAACTGGAGGGCATGAGATGGGAGCCCGGCGTCCTGAGGACGAGGTATACCGGCAGAGGAGGATACGGGGGGTAAGATACTGGGCGCGCATGGTGGCGGGACCGACTGAAGGCGCTGTGTAAGGTCCGGATAGTTCACTTTCATATATAATTTGACAAGAGCCTTAACCATCAGGAAAGAAGAATAAAGGCAACACCCCGAAACCCAAACGTCGAAAAGGCTAAACGAAAAAAGTTGCCAGAGCGAAGAAGGTGCAGAAGCGCTTGGAGATATGGACTGAGAGATCTGGCTTTGGCTCTGCGAGCCCGCGGACGACAACAATTGTTCGTACTGACGGACCTCCCAAAGTTCCGTAAGGCGATGTTCCGGCAGAAGCTCACTGACATTAGTCAATACTAGATTGTGAAAAATGGTTAATGGGGGTGTCGGCACCCGAGGAGAGACACGGGAGAGAGGCTCGAACACGGGGACGTCGGCGGGGGGCACCGAAGACCGTGAGCCGGACAAAGGATCAAACTTGGTGGTGCCGTTGGCAAACGGGATAAAGAAAAACAGCTGGGGGGTACAAGTGACCGGTTCGGCCGAATGAGACAGCAGAAAGGAACTGACATCCAAGAAAAAAGGAAGGGTTACACCACTTGGGAGAGCTACCGTGACGCGAGGCTTGTTGAAGCAGGTCGCATTGAAGGGCTGCAACTCATAGTGCGAGCGCGGTATAGGCATGCACCGACGAATCCGGACGAGCCCGTTTCCGTGGTACGAGGCCGACACGTCATCTCTTTGGAGAAGCCGCCGCATGGTGAGAGTAGGATCTATGAGCAATGCTGAATGCAATGAGAAGGTAAAAAGATTAATCCTCTCACATAGCGACGCCAGAGCATGATGGAACAGCGTCGCGAAGGAACCTTGTACTACATCCTCGACTGCAAGGAGTTGGGCCGCGAGTTGATTGGACGTCACGATTCCTATAGGTGTGGGCGACCGTGGCTTGCGGCGGATAGGCGCTACTGCATAACCCTGATCGGTGACGGTGAGTGTCTGACCACAGTCCGTAATGATTGCGCTATCCGCGTCCCAGGAGAGGGCGAGCTCCTTGGACTCACTGAGCCAAACATTACCCATCCTGTGCCCCTTCATTTTAGACACGGGTAGAAACTGGCAGGTCTCTTCCTTGTCTGGGGTCCAGAGCAGTACTGACCCGTCATTCAACACACACGTCCCATCCTCGTACTTACAGTGCCGTGTATCACCCACTGCAGAGTCGGGGGAGGCCGAGCCATGATGAGCGTGGATGAAAGTGGAAAGGAGGAAGCAGTTGGTGGTCGAGGCGGAATGGGTGACGCAACAGCCGAATGGAGCTGAGGGCCACGGCACTATCAGGGGATTACTGGTTTTGGAGACGCTTCCGCTTGGTGATAGCACCCCGTATTCGCATCTATTATGCTGAACCATGAGCTTGCAGTGCTCAACCGATACCGTCTTATAGGCCTCGGAACGGTTTTCGAAACGAGCGCCAAAGAGATTGACATAGTATGAAACAGTTTGCTCGACAATCTTGCATAACGAAGCCGGGGTGTCGTAGCGCCTGCTGTTGGGCCTGTATAGGTGAAGGGAAAAGTTTTGAGGCGGAGAAGAGACGCGCGGAAGCAAGCGAGAGCAGTTGTAAGTGAGAGGCACTCGCAGAAGATAATCATGGGAGCTTGGCGGACAGAACCAGGCCGGTTGCGCGAGCCCCGACGGGATGCATACGCCAACGATCAAGCAAAGGAACAGCGAGTTGACACCGCACAGGTTACTGGCTGGAAACGGACGCGGGGCCCGAGCTTCTGAGAACACTGACCGAGAAAGCTCATCGTTACGCTTCAAGAGAGCCGCCACCTGGGCCTGAGAATTATCCAGTGCCTCCTGTTTTTCGCGAAGAGAGATCGAAAGGGCATTGATTTTGTTGCAGGCATCATCAAAATAATCGTGGACTGGAGAAGAGTGAGGAGAAAGACTCCGAGCAGCAGAGCTAGAGTTACTGGATGGAAAACGAGAACGTGCGGCGGATCGCGTACCTGTCGGCTTCGGGCCGGGAGAGGGCAGAGGAGATGGGCACTGACGGGCCAAGTGTCCGGTGCCTCCGCAATTGAAGCATGAGTTGCCCATGTTGCGCGTTTGCCAGGCCATGCCGGGATCCATGCGACGAGAAGGCCCGCGACGGGAGTCGTTTCTGCGCCTGGAAACGGAAGAAGAGTTTCGGTTCGAGGAGGGAGGAGTGTTAAACCTCACCTGACGAGGGACGCCCAACGCCGATATTCCTGCCGATGATCCAGCAGGGTTGATAAGGCGCTCTGCTGTAGCCTCGGCGAGTAGGTGCTCCACCGCTTGAGCCTTGTTGACAGCCTGTTCAAAAGTAACTGGGTTATCAAGCTTAACAAAATACCTGATATCGGGTCGCAGGCGGGCCGTGAATTCTTCTAAAGCGCGATCCTTCTGCGCGGCCAGGTCCTGGCCCGCCGTAGCCGCCCTTACAAAGTTCATCAATCTATTGGCGAAAACTGCGGAAGGCTCCAAATGCTCCTGTCGACAAGAAGCCAAGGCCTGACGGGCAATGTGACGTTGATGCGGGCCTTCGAAACAGCCCTTCAGATGGGAAATGAGAGATTCGTATGACCTCCGATCGTCGTCGGCGAGCTCCTCAACCTTTTCGCGAGCAATGCCATCCAAATGAGCAATCAGAAAATTAGCCTTGCGCTCGGAACTCATCTCACCTGGGAGTGTGCGCATAATATCCTGTAGCCGACGCACCCATAGGGAAAACTGCACCCCGTCGCCGGTTCCCGAAAACGGGGCGAGCTTGGCAGCGAGCCCTTCCGGCATCAAAGACGTTACCGCCGGGATAGCCCTAATGTGGTCGTCGACCGCTCCAAAGGAAGCGTTGAGTCCGGATAGGAGGGAGGCATTATTCTCGCTGATCGTCCTGGCCAGTTGAGCCGATGTATTGTGGGAGTCCTGCCAGACTCCGGCTACCGCCTCAACCGTGGCGTCCCGTAGGTGGCGCGCATCCCTTCCTAGTACCGCTGAAGAATCTTCGACGTCTGATAAGGCTGACGCCAGAGGGGCCGTTATAGATAGGAGCGGCTCGGGTCTTACGACCGGTACCGGTAGTTTGCTCTCATCCTTAACTGGATTGATCGGTGGCTGGGTAACTGCGACCCCGACATCCGACGCTTTGGCCTTAGCCCTAGTAGTGGGTGGTCCCATAGCGCCGCAACAGTAGCACAGAGAATACCGTAATACACTGCGATCGTAGACGACTGCAAATACCGGATCTGAGCCAATGAGGGGATTTTATATCCACCCGCCAGTGGATGTGGGGGCGACGCAAGCTAAAACGTCCCTGGAATTCAAACACTTTTGCCAACCCCCCGCCAGCGCGCTGATTTCCCAAGCTTGATGTTGCCGAAGGAAACCAAGAGATGTAAACACTGCCTATCGGATGCTTCATCTAAGACGCCGAGCCATCGACGAGGCTCGCCTCCGCGAGAAAACAGCACGGCGCGGACAAAGCGAACCACAACAAAATGCCATCCAGTGCTTACCGATGACTCACCGTTGAACGGTGGAGGAAGAAAGCTTCCTAGAGGAGAGGAAGAGGAGCAACTAGAAACCGACGTAAATGTAGCAGAGGTATGGCAGGAAGGACGGTATGAAAAGAAAAGGATTACACTGTACGAAGAGCCCCGAACGTCGTGACGTAGAGCCCAACGTGAATATGGTGCTGAAAAAAGGACTTGATAGGGAAGGGGAAGCGAACAACATGGGGATGCTAAATCTCAGAAGGATTGGGACCTGGCTTCTCAAGCCACACCGTAACGAACAGACAAACACTGAAATCGCCGCACCTGGAAACGTACTGTGCCATTCAACGAAGGAACACCGACTGTGCACTTAGTGCCACGAACAAAAGGCCTTTTTGACTATTGGTCCTACCTGACCACTCAGCAATTCACAAAGACACCCAATTGCGGAACCAACGACTATCGAAACCGTGGACGTCCTAACAAGGTGCGGAGCTCACAAAACGAAAGATCAGGTCCTGACTTCACAAGTCACCCGGGTGATGCAAATTCTGGTAGAGCTCAAAAGAGCTGTTCGAAAGGAACGACACGAAAGCAAGAAAGAAAGAAAGAGAAACAGGAGTGTCGCAAACGGAGGAGACAACCTCAAAAAATTGTACCGTAAATGGGCAAGATGAGATAATAGGAAAAAAATAAAAGAAATCGAGTAGATCTGCTAATGCCCAGCTACGGGGCAGCTCAAAGAAAAACTCACGCTTTCCTGACGACCGGCTCACTCGCTGCTACCAGTAATTAGGTGGATCCAATGTACTTCACGCACAACCGAATAACAGTAGATTTATTAGGTGCCGGATAGATGGATGACGTGAGTTCTTCGACCCCTTCGCAGTGGCGCAAGTGCAGATGGGGTCAGCCGCCCGTCGGACTGTCCTCCGTCCATAATGCCGTCCTTCCGCCTCAGCTCCACGCCTCGTGCGCGCTGAAAGCAAAACATTAGCATCGCTGAAGCCTCATCGAACGATCAATCTACAGTACCTAAGCTCAAGTCCCTTGAGCTTACAAATTCAAGGACGAGCGAAGTACACTCAGCTGAACCGAATCCTTGTTTCATTCCCTTTAGGAGTTCCCTTGCTCTTATTAAGGCTAATGAGTGTTCTGCATTTGATTGTAAGGTCATTTCTCGGGAGGTTAACCTGGCGGAGTGAATCACCAGCGCGATCATATAGCTGTCCCTGCAATTGCAATTGCATGCATCATTTCTGGTGAGCTCGTTGTCGTCGTCGTCGTTCAATGCCATTATTACCCCGATCGTTACCCTCAAACGATGAGTGAGTGTGGAAAAAATCGCAAAATTTGCTGACATCAAGGACACTGAACGACGTCCAGAACGCTTGACCCATGGGTAGCAAGCGATCCAAGGGTGACCTCATGCTTTCCAGCGAGAGCCTGAGAATTTACAAAACAAATAACAATAAGGCAGCCTCAGTTTCACAAAGTTAAAAGGCTAAAGGGTGGATTATGTTTTAGACTTGCGCAGCCATAGCCTTAGCGAGCAAGGGGTGAGCCTACACGTCAGGTCAGTGAGCTGGCTGTCTCACAGTCTTTAACTTTGAAGCCATGCAGCATATGTGGGGTCAACCGATGTGGGAGCTTCCGACCAGTATTTTGAGAAAAATTATCAAATGTTTCTTTTCATTCCATTGCATACAATGAGGCTCATTCAGAATCAACCAATAGGTTTTTGTTCCCAGTTTGCTTGGTATATTTTTAAGAAATTCACTCAAATCCCAAGCGGCCGCAAAACATAAAACATGTGCGCGGTATCAGACGTGTTGATAGTGCCATGTACCATATATGCAATATATTTCTTCTCCCAGAAATAGCTGAACCCGGAAAGAATGGCTCGATTCTTTCCTGCCAGGCTCAATCTCCATCCTGTGTACCGTTCTCTGTTCACGCTCCTACTTGCCATTGCCCTGATTTCAGGGCTCAAAGGACCGTTTTTTCTCACGGCTTTTATTGAGTTTAGCCTTGTGACCAGACCGACCATATCATCTGATAGAATGAGCTAGTCTAGTGCTGAAAATCAGGGAACGGAAACCACTGCTTGTCCAGGAGTTCCGATCACGTTACGCAGATGCTAGTTTGGATGGAGGGTACTTGATAAGTTATTTCTGCACTAATGGGCAAATTCTTGTGCGTATCTAGTGTGTAAGAAAACCCGCTCCTTTCTAACTAATTGAACGCGTATGTAGCGCGAATAACGAGAAAACGATCGAAAAAAGCGGCCTACTAGTCGACAAAAGCGGTTCTCATGCAGTTTCACCTCCACCCTTCAGCGTTTCTGTGACCTCGAAAATTTCCCTAAGAAACCACGTCTACAAAGAATAATTATTCAGGGTGATTGTGGAGAACTGTTTTTGGGGGAACATGTCAAAGAAAGCAAGCAGTGATTGCAGGGACGGTTGTCAGGTCCGGTGGCAAGGGTCTGCCCGAAGTTTACCAGTGGGGATATTACTTGTGGGTTGGGCCTCAAAACGCTGGAAACTTTTATGAATATCTTTGCGTATGAACCAGGTGAACAGGGTTCACTGCCGCATTTTCAAAAAGGTCCATGACTTCCCTCACTCCGTCAACTCAACCGGAATGACAGCTGATCGTCATAAAACTGCTGAGCATTGCTGCAATCATTTGAACACAACCCCACCGCAGAAGTCGTGTCGAAGAATATATCCAGTGGGTGGGATAGTATATATAGCGAATATCCGGCTTCGACAGTTGTAGCGGTTTTGAAAAGTGCACGACAACCAGCGTATGGGCCTTTACAAGTCGGCGGGATGGCGGCTATGTGAGCTTATGGACGAGTTACTATGCGCACACCCCATGACACGCAATGTGGATTACGGCGTCGCGGCTATTTCAACTACACGCGGGTTAGTTAGGCGTGGAGCAGGCACGTTCCTACAACTCGTCTGGCCCCGCCCCTTCTTTATTGAAAAGGGGAACCCTTGTTTGAGCCTCAAAGTTCTGTTTTGGTTTCTCTTTCCAGTTTAAGTCGAATCTCATTATCAACTGATGGGACACGTAAATTCGTATCTTCTCTTCGAGGGGAATTAGGCTATACGGCTTACGTTAGCCGGTCGGCTTACAATACGCATCCCAATTCCATTGAAAGTCACACGGGCATTTCAAATGCGTGTTAGCTTTTTACAGCACTACGGCTAACGTGGCTGGGTCAACCGAAATCTGGTGTATTGTAGCAATCGCCGATTCCAGAACAACAGAAGGACCCTGATGAATAAGCAGAACTCGATCCTTTGGATGGCAATGGCGCTGCGTAGCTTAGCTAACCTAATACGCCATATGTACCTACTGAAAGAGTCCAAATATAGTATACTTCTGAAAGAGGTAACGAGGAAAAAGACAGATGGCATTTGAGATCACTCTTCAGTATGATACACTAGTGTGCAAAACTTAGGGACGAACATAATTTTTCCATGACGTGTTACTGGCGAGTAACATAACTCTATGGAACCTAACCACACATGGAAAGAGCTGCTACAGTGCAGTACAGAAAGCAATTGACAGGAAACCTGTTAAACGGTCCACGAAGCTACCAGTAAGTTATGTTAAATCGTCCACTTCGTGCTTAAAGGACGAATTCACGATGAAAAAGCAACCCATTTCAAATTAACCTAGGGATGGTGAGTGGTACACGAAAGAAGGAAGAACCATGAGAAACGGCCCAGAACCCGAGAAATGGGACCCCTTCCTTGCCCGTTGATTTCGAGCATTGATGCGACTCTCATCGCTGTGCCCTCTTCAACACTACGCTCTCTCAGCTATCTAATCACTCGCCACGTATTGAACTACGGCGAGTGATCAGATGATCGGTGGGCGGAGATCGCCGGACCCGCCAGCTTTGAGGCATGATAGGTCGCCGAGGTCAAATTTTTCCATGCGAATTGCGCGTCAGTTCGCACCCTCAGGAGGTCCGTGGGTCCCTCAACTAGGTCAGTTTCCCTTTCTTCGACCTTCATTCTAATCGTGAATTCCTCCTTTAAGGGAGATGTGTAAATTATAACCTATTTTTTGCAGCACGCAAAAGTAGATGTTTTGGCATTGAGTGCACGGACACTACCGTAGTTAGGAGGGGAGAAGGGATGGATGAAGCAGAGGCGTCTACTTTCCGCTCGTTTTTGCTCCTTTACTGAGATTCTGTAACAGTGCATACAGTCGATATCCGAAGTGGGGTGGGCGTGTCACCGGAAGTGACGTGCACTTGATAGAAGTGGCGTGGATAAGCTGTTGCCAGCATGCTTTGCTGATAGCCAGCGATGTATGTTGGAAGCAGCTTATCCACATAGTTTCTATCAAGTGCACGTCACTTCCGGTGACACGCCCACCCCAACTCACCGATATCGAGTATATATAACCACGCAATTTACTTCGTAATACAATCGGTCTTGAATGAGCAATATTTTCTACTAAATGTGACCCGTCAGTCAGAGAGGGTGACGAAACAGGTGTGGCAATGACTAGCACGCACCCCGTATTGTTGCCTAAGCCGTAAAATCCCTATCACTCGCACCCGGCGAACGCGAGGGCCATGGCGGCCCTATTTTAGGATTCGAACGCCACGGGTCCCGCAAGGTCACTGTACTATTATCAGTGGGCGCGTGCGTGTACGGCAAATTAAACACCGCCGTTTACAGTAGTATTGGTCAGCCGTTCTCTGAGCCTAATCGTAACCATTCCATCCGAAATAAACCCTGCTAACCCTTCATTTTCGCGTTTCTCAACCCCACTCGAGCCACTTTTTTACACGATGTTTCCGCCATGTTTCACATGCTTCGCGCGGGTTCCAAAAAAGATTGGCCGACGGCCAGTCGACCGGACCCTTCGCGGTCATTGCTGGGAATTTACATACTCTGTTCGTCGCTGCGCATTGCACTATTGCTCAATGAATCTCTTGTCCAAACTTGTATTGATTATTTGCCATTTTACGTTTTATGATATTGATTACTGACTTACTCGCGACCTTTTGCACTTGTATTATGTCTGATCACATTTTAAATTACTTGTCTGGTTACTTCGATTGTTATCTGCGCTCAACCCAATTGATCCACTTGTGTCTACGTATGCTAGCCAAGGGGCAGCCACATAATGGGTTAGAGCACTTTTCCGGTCACCAAAATCTGACCAAACAAACTTCTCGCTTGTCCAAAATTGCCCCAAAAGTGCAAGAATACTTTCACGTGTCCGGGATGGGTCCGGATGCTGTCTTACGACTTCTATTCAGAGAATTCATTTTCATTTATCTCTTTATTGTATATTATGAGGTTCAATTTCAAAAAAAAAATTGGGCCCTGTCATGCAGATTGTTGTGGTCAAGGACGCGTAATGGCTGACAGTCTAGAGTAACCTAACCTATGTATGGCCTGTTTTCGAGAGGTTAGAAAAAGTTCGCAATGAATCCGTGATATGAGTCAGACGTGTTTGATTCGGCTTTGTAGTCGAAATAAAAGTACATTTTATTCAGCTGATGTTTCGGCGTAACCGCCTTCCCCGAACCTTTAACCTCAATAGTACTCCTGTACCAAGAATTGGCCTGCTTTTATAATCGAAACAAGTAAACTAGTTTTTTTTCGAAAGAATATACTAGTTGTTCAGAAATACTTGATCAGAAAACCCCACGATATTTTGTTGCTATCATTGCCAACTATTAAATCGAGCCTAAAAACTCATAGGAAACGATTGGATAGATATCTCGCAGGTTCCGGTCCAAAACTTATCTATAAACATTCGCGAATCACAGACAGCACTGTCTCTCCAATGGTAATACCGCAGCTGTTTCGACAAACTTACGTAAAATATCACTGTTAGCCGAAACGCAGTTGAATTCACTAGGCCGTATTGCGGTTTGACGGCATGAAAGCTGGCGCGAGGCCAGCATTGCGGAAAACTCGTCCGAACACGCCCTCTTTCGCCCTGGCCTGAAAGCGCCTAATCTATCAAGGATTTTATTTCGGACGCTTTTGGAGTTGTTTCCTGCATTTTTCTCACCTGGTAACCGACACTTCTTTTTTGAAGCTAGCAGTAATTTTGTACCATTGAGTCGTAAATACCAAGCTGGTGAATTAATCAGCAGTTCTACCGTATGATAGGCGAGAAGTTGAGGTTAATCCTCTCCTGGCGTAGTATTACTGACTTCTAGTACTTACTGAACATCCTTGTGATTCTTTTCGTTAGAGGTCTCTTCATTGCTAAAGTATTATATTTCATTTAGCCACACCC